AAAAAAAAAAAAAAAAAAAAAAAAAAAAAAAAAAAAAAAAAAAAACACCTTAGATTTTTAAAGGGAAACCCTTTTATGCTGATCAACGCCATCTTCCCCATGCTAACTGAAGGGGAGAGGGGAGTCTGGGTCCTTTCAGGACCAAGAGTGACTTGAGATCAGCAAAGCCTGGGATAAATGCAGGTGGGAGAGCTTCCCCTGGGCCAGGGCCGTGCCACCCTCATCCTTAATTGTGAACCTCCATCTCCCTCTAATGGCATCTCCGAGCCTCACCACCTGTCCTGAGCACGCCTGGGGTGAGCAAGGGTGGAGAGGAACCAGATTTTTAACAGACCTGCTATAAGAAAGAGTTTAATCTCATGTCAGGTAGTCAGGAGGGAGTTACTCACTCAGGCCTTTCCTCTCTTTTCATTTATTTCTCCAGGGTTAGGGATTTACCAGAAGTTAAAATGAAATCTCTCTCATCTCTCTCCCCATGGGGAGCAAGACTCCTCCTAATCCTGGAGGACTGGTGGTAGCTGTGTTTTTACAGACAAATCTATCGCTTTATTAGGGAAAAAAAAAAAAAAAAAAAAAAAAAAAAAAGGAAGCCAAGGAGATAGGAGGCAGTTTTCCAGCTGGGATTTCGCCAGGAAGCCGGCTGAGCAGAGCCAGACAGCAAAGCAGTGATGGGAGGAGCTGCCGGGTCTCCCGCTTGCACCTTTAGATGGTGGCCAAGAGCTTCTGCTTTCCCGGTGCTCCCCAGGAGCACCCCTGAGAGAGACTGTGGTGTAGGGCAGGTGTGTAGGAACATAGGCTTCGGGACTTTGCCCTTACATATACGTACCAGGAAATCAAAAGTCTTGACCAAGCATGATAACTATTTCCTGCTGTCGGTGAAAATATTATTGTCAAAGAACAGCTGGAATTGAAAGTTATTTTTTCCTTCTGGTTGCACTTTTATAACCACAGAATGTTGATGCTGATCACCCATCCGACGCAGACAGGGCCAGCTCAGGGTCACCGCATCAGAAGAGACCTTTTGCAGCACCCCGCCCCTCCCTCCCGCTATGCCAGGGACTGTCCCGCACAACCCATTTCATTATCTGCTCAGCAGTGCTTTGCCCGGGGACAAAACTGCAGAGCGGGGGACACCTGGGGGACGCTTGCCCTGCTCCCAGGGTGCAGGATGGAAAGCTCTCCTGGGTGGCCCACATGCAAACTGGGTGTGCTCCCCTGCCACGCTGGTGAGCTAAGCCTGGATAGACAGTAAACTCCTGTCTGAGGGCTGCTAATGAGTCTCATTACTTCAGCCAAGCCTTCTTCTAAACACCACCCCGTGCTGCTTCTTTTCATATGTCTCTGGGTAACCTTTCAAGACCAAGATCTGTTCCCACAGATGGTAAATCTTCCCCGTCCTAAAAGCGTGATTACTGCCATTATTTTACACAAGAGAGTGGTATAACGACGGGGAATAATTTTGCCCAGTAGTGGGTATTCGAAACAGTTTTTTAAAAAACGGAAAATAAATCAGACAGAGAGCAGGAATCCAGCTACAACCTTGAGTTTAATACGACTGGTACAACAGGGGAATATGATTGATCCCGGAACAGCAAAAACCTCTCAGGGTGCGAACACTGTAAGGGAGTTGTATCGGCTTGAGGTTCAAAACCTGAGCACCTGCTCAGAGTTACTTAACTTCTCACTAAGAGCTTTTCTGTTGCAGGAATGATTGAAGTGTGGTCACAAAAGGAAGGCAAGGCACTCGGCGGGTTTAACACGGATACAATAAGGGGTAAAATAAGGCCAAAGCTTCTTTGGGGAGAAAAATAACCTCACACCTCAGCTACATAGCTTGTTATTCTCACAACTACTCCTTTCCCTCTTCTACCACAGCCATTTTGAAGCACAGCGACTCTTCTTGGAGTGGCTCGAACGTTTGGCCCCCCCTGTATGATGGTGCGTCGAGTGCTGGGTGGACCGTGGGTAGAGGCACTTGGACTTGCTCAGGTGTTGTGTCGAAGAGCTCTTGTGCTTGCCTCCCTCCTGCGGCAGCGAGCATTTGACTGTGTGATGGTGCGAGGAACACTCCTTTATTCCCTGCCCGGGGGGGCACTTGGGCACCTGTGGCTGTGGCTTGGTTACACACTGCTGAGAGGAGTAGGTGGTGACACACTCCTGAGTCGGGTAGCCCTTCATGCATTTCTGGTGGGGGAACCCGCTCACGCACTCCTGCATTATGCACTGCTGCTGCGGGGGGCACTCGGTGACACCCCTCAGCGGCGGGGAATAGCCGCTGGTCATCCCCTGCGAGGACCTCAGCTCCGTGCCGCACCGCTGCGACGTGCTTTTGGAGATCTTCTGCGACCTGCATTCGTCCTTGCACGAGGCTGAGTATTTGATCCCACATGGTGGGAACTTGAGTTTGCCCGGCTCCGGGCACCTGGGTGCGCACGGTGGGAGGCTCTTGGCTACACGTTTTTTCTCGAGGCAGCTGGTCTCACAGGGTTGGAAACTCTGCACTGTGCTCAGCTTCAGGCTGGGCTTCCTGCAGGGCAGAAGGCGCGTGGTCTCGCAGGGCTCAGGGTACAGCAGGACACACTGCTGCACGTAGGGCTGGCAAGGCAGCAGGGCTGCCTGGCTCACGCTCGGCTGCGGGCACACGTAAGTGAAAGGTTGCGTGTAGCTTTGCCATCTGGGCATCGGGCTCTTGATCACGCTCACTGGGTGGCACGTGGTACTGCACATATCGGACTGGGGCGTGCACTGCTGGATGCTTTCGGTGATATAGCCTGATCCCGGCAGGTAAATGTGTTTATATCGCTCCCCATAGTAGTGCATGGTCATCCAAGGCACTTACGCCTGAAAGAAACGGGGGAAAAAGACAGACAGTTCACATAGGCATTGGGGTATTTTTTTGTGATGGAGGACTTGGAGTTTCCCCGTGGCCACCGCAACGTGGCAAGCCCACCCACTAGCTCTCAGGGGCTCTCAGTAACTCAAGGCCAAGCTGTGATGACTTGAGGTGACGAGAGGAGAGGCTGCCCTCAGCTTGTGTCCCCACACCCTCCTCTGAAGAGCCTGGAAACGATCAGGGATTGGAGCCAGGCAAACCGGGCTTTGCCCTTCATGCTGCCCTTCAAAAACCAGCCAAGTGCCCATCAAAGCATTTCACCGAGGAAAAAGTGACATCATGACCCTCCATCTTACTTCCGGGAAACCTTCTGTGTCACTCCTGGGACGTCCTTTCAAGTTTATGTCCTGCAACTCCCCAGCGCAGGGGATTAAAGGCAAACCAAAATTAAAGGTGTGTCCATGCTGTAATAACCGGGTGCGGCTGCAGTTCACGCGGGCAAACCCAAACTGAGGTTACATTAGCCTGCTGAGGGTAAGGATAGGTTTGTTGCAGCGCGGAGCTCGGCACGTACAACCTGCCTGCCTGCCGATTCACGGTCCCGCAGGGGTCTGCTGGGATGGCAGCGTGCAATTACAGGCTCTGAGCTCGCTACCATCGCGTCGGCTTTGCTGCCTCCGCGAGCCTTGCAGCCCTGGCTTTGTACTGTAGGCATCTTCCAGAAAAATAAAGAGGAAATACAACAGGATTGTTTTGAAGTATTGGGTGAAACCATGGCAGAAAGGAGAAACTATCGAGGCGAGATCTCAGCTGGTGTTAACTAGCCAAGTTTCACTCGGCTGAAAGAATTACACCCACTTAAAGCAGCCTCCAGCCCTGCGCTACAGTCATACCAAGCCATAGGGTCCTGGTTTTGTGACAATAACCTGAAAACTCACTGTCAAAACGCCTGGCATAGGCAGCTCTGACAGTGAAACCTCACCCTGGCAGCCCCTGTGCGAGCAGCACGAAGGGGAGTCGAGCTGAGACGCTGTCCCTGGGGAAGGGACAAGATGGCACCGTCTGGGGGCCCACACCTTCCTCCTGAAACCACTGTGAAGTGTCTCGCTTTGCCTTGGCCCCGGGCCTCATCGGAGAAACCGTTCCCCTTCAGTCCCCACGCCAGAAAACGCCCGTTTCGGGGAGTTTCCTGAGTTTTTAACGAACAGGGTTATTTTGAGCACAACAGGCGCTGGAAGCACTGACATGTGAAACGTAGTCTGATTGAAAACGGTCTTTTCATTTCAATACTGCTCGGAGATTAAGGCATGTAATTCAACGACTAAAGAAACTGCATCATTCTGAACGCTCCTAATTCTGTCTATAATTACAGTAAGATGTTTTATCTTCCAAAAGCCTATCGTTGGGTGACGATCAGCAATAACAATGCTGTGTGTTACTGTCATTAGGAAAACTTATTATCACTACAATTACAACAATCATCTACTAATAAAAACAACCCCTCGAAAAACAATGGCAGCAATTGCTACTACTACCTGCACAATGCATACAATCTGGTGATGCTCATCAAGATAAAAAGCTTCTAAAGTAGGGAGGACTATTTGCTTCCGAGGGGTTGTTTGCATCTCAGACTTTTTTTTTTTTTTATCATTAGAAATTTTATCATGTTCAGCTTTAGCTAGAGAGTCTCTTTGCTGACTTTCACATTGGCACCGAAGTTGGGTCAGCTTCTTCCTATTATCTGACAGGTTGCTTTGTTTAAATTCCATAAAACGGCCACAAATGTCTCCACTCCACTTCCTTTAGAGATGCCTTTTCGTGGGCAAGCTCATCTCTGACTCCTGCCAGCATCGAGCCCTTTACGTAGTCAATAGCCTCCTTTGGACTAGAACTAACAGAAAGCGTAGAAAAGCCCACAAATCCCACTCCTGACTTCACAGTCCATCTGGAATTGCTTTCCCAATATTCTTCAGTTTAGCACGGAGGAGATGCTCCAGCTGTTAGAGCCGCGCACGCCGGTGCTGAAGGCAGCATCCCCCAGAGGATGCTTCTCCACATGTACACAGGCAAGACCTCTGCCTGCTCCGGCCACCCAGGAATAAAACAGCATTTCAGGAGCTCCATTTAAAGCCAGACTTACCCACTTCATCAGTGAGAACAACCGGAGAGAAGTGCCTAGGAGAGCCCCGCGATGGCAGAGCTTTTATACAGTGAATAAGTGCCCTAGGGGTGTGAGGCGGTTTGGCTGGGTGATGCTCTAATTGCCTGCCAGTCCTGGACGAGCCACGTGCAGCTTCGTGCCGGCGGGAATGGCTGTCCTCGCTCTGCGGGGCTGCCATCGCCGCCTGGCACTGCCGAGACATCTGCTTCCCCTGTGAGCTCTGTGAGGGGGAGCCTCCTGGTCCAACGTGCCCAACCAGCGGAGCCTCTGGCAGGCCAAGGACGCCCCTGGGCGGGCGCCGCTCACGGCCCTGACGCTACGAATTCCCCACGCGCAATGCCGAAGCGTCCCTGCCTGCCCATCGCAAATCCCACTAAACCGCACCTTTCCACCCAGAGAAAGATGGCAGTTGAGCCCACCGAAGAGACTGCTCGAGGGACTCCCTGTCTCCATGGGAGCTGCCTGCGTAAGTCCCTTCAGAGCCTTTGAAAACGCCATCCAGGAAGGACTCACGGCAGCGTTTCGCAGACCATAATTACTGCGGCATGCAGACTTCCTTCACTTACACAAGGAACCCAGGGAAGAGAGGGATGATTTGGACTGAGAAAGCCTTGGGCTAAGGGCAGCTACTAAAAAGACACGCCACGAAGTGAATAGCCTGCTGAAAGAGGTGACGCTTTTCCGGCACAACAAAGGGGACAAGGGACAAGAAGGAGCACTGGGGCGGCCCTGGGGAAAAGCGCCGGAATCAAACCAGGCTCACGTCCTGAAAAACACAAATCACATTTCTTGCTGTGCTGCACAGAGGAGTCATTCCTGCTTTTGTTCCCTGTTTATGCCACAAATAAACCCCAGAGGAAGTTAGCAGGGGCAGGAGCATAAGTGCCGACAGGGGAATGCATTTTGACGTAGTCATAGTGTGAATCTGACACCTCCGAGTGGAGTTCCAGCATGCCGGGAACTCAGGCGAGGTCTCACACGTTGAAATAAAAAGAGCTGAAATAAGTTAACTTTTAAGGGAGGAGGTGGAAAATTTCTCACTGATGTGAAGCACCAGGGATGCTGCGGGGTCACCGTCCCTGGGGGTATTTAGAAGACGCATGGACGTGGCACACAGGGACGTGGTTTACCGGTGGACTTGGCAGGGTTCGATTTAGTCGGACTCGATGAGCTTGAGGGTCTTTTCTAAGCAAAGTGATTCTGTGATTTGCAGCAGAATATTGATCTCCGGCTTGTGAACCACTGAGTAAATTTCCTATTTCTGTTTTCACTGGAAAATCCAGGTTTGTTGTTTACATTTCTGATTTTCCAACAAAATTCTCGCTCAGTACCATAGGAAAAAATACAGAGGGCATATTTTTTCCGGTTGATGCCAACATTTTGAGACCTACAAAAAACAAAGGGAGGACTGTTTTCTTTAGACTTGCCTCGTTTTCCACAACTTTCGTTGCATTTCACCCCCCCGAACCACAACGCCCTTTTTAACGTTAAATGATCTGACCCAAGGTTTTAGGAATCAAACTGGCGTCAGAGAGCAGGTAAGTAGATTAATACAATTTTTATAAGCTCCGTAAATCCAGTTCCTGGGAAAGCTCCGGATCAAGTGGCCTTCAAGGAATGCTAATATTCAGTTTAGTGTTTCCAGTGGAGGGAGCGAAATATTAACCCGATGATAACATCGTGCCCTGTCATCCAAAAGTTCTTAATTAGCAGCTGTAAAGCCCTTTCATCTCCGAAAGACGCACAGTGCCGCATGGGACATTGTTGCGGGGGGTGTTATTATTTCCAATTAATCACAGGGGAAACTGAGGCACATTGCGCTGCGGTCACTTGGTGGCGCAGCGTGAGTCAGAGCCAGGGACAGAACCCGGCTCCATTGCAACCAACCTCCAAAACAAGCCCCGTGCTCGGGCAGCCACTCGTCCCCATGAGATGAGGTCCTGTGCCACCCGGCCACCCACCACTCGGGGAGATTTTCCTAACGATCCCCCGGGCTCTGGCTCCTATGGGAAAGCCACAGTGATGTGACAGCTCCTCAGAAGGCCACACCATGGTTCATTTCTCGGTTTTAAAGGCACAAAACGTTGGGTGGTGAGAGCATCCCTGGCTCTACGAGGTGGAAGAAGGGCCACGGTCACTGCTGCTCTTGCACGCTGCCTCTCCGGGCCAAAATATCATCACCGGACATTCAGAATAAGGTGTAAAAAAAAAAAAAAAAAGGGTCTGCTCCTCCACAACCCACCGAGCACCCCGGGGAAGCACCCAGCTGCCACCTCGACGTTGCCTTCTGAGGGCAGCCCGTGGTGGCACCCCAAGGTCACCGAGCGAGGGTGGAGCAGGGCCAGAATGCGGGGCAGCGTCCCGGCCCCAGTCACACCCTCCTCGTTGTCTTGCAACACTTGTTTTTTTTGCCCTCCAAATACGTGTGAGCTACTTAGCATGAGCTACTACTCATTTTCCTAATGATAGGGCATGTTAGAGGATTTTTGTATTTTTCAGACAAGAGTTCACTGGATTTAATAAAGAACCAGAGGGCAAAACGACAAGATATTTAATCTGAGGTCAGACAACTATATTTATTTAAGTATATATATATATGTATAAAGTAAGTATACATATATATATATGTTTTCAATACAGTGTGGAGCACACATCTTCAGGCAGCGTGAAGAACATAGTTAATAGCTTTTATAGCTCAAACATTTATAAAACAGTCGTGCTACAACTTTCGGCGTTATCTCGGAGACTTTCTTTCCTTTTCGAGTTGTGTTCTCGGTATCAGTGAAAGCAACCGAGTGAATAAAAACTTCCCCGTATAAAATTTCAGCAAGAACCAACCTCGCCAAGACAGAAATCCTGTCTCGTTTGGGGACTCTACTGAAGCCAGCGCGGAGTCGGTGGTTTGAAGCAGGAAGGATTTCTGGCCACCTTCTGAAATGAAGGGCCGTTGGAGTAAGGCTCCTATACGGTTTGCTCAGCAAATCACGTTTGGCTTCCAAATCTGTGAGTGAAAGCGGCTGATTCGGAGCACTCGCAGCCTAGTGGGATCCAAGTTTAACCTGAATATTGTCTTCCAAGGCCAGGACCAAACCAGGAGCCAAGCATGGGCCAGCCCTCCGCCAGCCACATTGCTAATCCTCTTGATGCTCTTGTGATCTGGACTCTTTAAAGATTTTTTTTTTTTTTTTAATATTATTTCACTTAGGTGAGAATCTCACTAAACTATGCCTTGTAGCAGGTCAAGGTACAAGCCACAGCCACCTGGAGCGCAGCAATGGAAATCGTATCGCACCCTGGCCAAAAATAGATCTGAGCTACAGGGGAAGTACTGGGAAACGGAGATAAAGCAGACTTAAGCGATAGGAACTAGTTGGCAGGTGATACAAGAAGCTAAATGACCCCTGCCCCAAAGCTGTGCCTGGCTTTTTTTTTTTTTTTTCCCTGTGGACCTTCCTTTCCCCTGCTCCTTTTTACCAGGGCCATTTGGACGCAGAGCAGTACTTTTTAGAGTGACTTGAAATTTTTACGCCACCTGACTGACACTGCTGCTGTGAGACACACTTGGTCGCACACTGCTGCTGTGGGACACACTTGGTCGCACACTGCTGCTGTGGGACACACTTGGTCGCACACTGCTGCTGTGGGACACATTTGGTCGCACACTGCTGCTGTGGGACACACTTGGTCGCACATTGTTGCTGTGGGACACACTTGGTCACACACTGCTGCTGTGGGACACACTTGGTGGCACAGTGCTGCTGTGGGACACATTTGGTCGCACACTGCTGCTGTGGGACACACTTGGTCACACACTGCTGCTGTGGGACACACTTGGTGGCACACTGCTGCTGTGGGACACACTTGGTCACACACTGCTGCTGTGGGACACACTTGGTCACACACTGCTGCTGTGGGACACACTTGGTGGCACACTGCTTCTGTGGGCCACAAGCTGTCTCACACTGCTGCTGTGGGACACAGATCGTAACCCCCGTGGTGGCACACTGCTGCTGGGGGACACACTTGGTCACACACCTGGTTGCACATTGCTGCGGGACATACGCGGTGGCACGCTGCTGCTGCGGGGCACAAGAGGTCGCAAACTGGTATGAGACACACTTGGTCGCACGCTGCTGCGGGACACACGTGGTGACACATCTGGTGGCACATGGCTGCTGCGGGCTGTACGTGGTCACACACTGCTGCGGGACGCACTTGGTGGCACACTGCTCCTGTGGGATGCGCTCGGTCAGGTACGGCCGCTGCGGCACGCAGGTGGTCACGCACCTGGTCTCGCACTGCTGCTGGGGGGCATAGGTGGTCAGGCGCTTGGTTGCACACTCCTGCGGCACGCCTGCGGTGGCACACCGCTGCTGCGGCACACACTGGGTCACGCAAGGCTGCTGCGCCGCACCCGTGGTCGCACACCGCTGCTGCGGCACGCAGGTCGTCACGCACCGCGTTACACACGGCTGCTGTAGGATGCGCTGGGTCACGCGCTGCTGCTGCGGCACGCATTTGGGTGCATACTGCTGCCGCGGCACACACTGGGTCACACACTGCTGTTGAGAGAAGCTGGAGGACATGATCCGCTGCCGGGGGACGCGGGGGGTCACATACTGTGGGGTGCACAGTGTCGAGTGCCAGGTAGGCACTGGCAGGTGTCTGGTGGTGTACATCAGCGGGCACTTGATGGGGATGGGGTCCTGGTAGACGGGAGGGAGGCACTGGTGTAGGTAGCACGACATCTTGGTGAGGTTTGGGCAGGACTGGAAGGACACATGAGGAAGCAGAGCCTTTAGAGAGGCACCCGGGTGTGTTTCTTGCCGCTCTGCTGCTGGCCACACCGCAGGACTGCCTCGCTTCGCAGGGCGCCAGAGACACGTCCTGCCTATGCCACAGCCTTAACACCACACCAGCAGTAGCCGAGGACCCAACCCATATCATTTTTAACTCTGAAACACGGCGCTAACAGAGGGGAAATTCAGAGACACGTAGAACTAAACAATCTCCCCACTGTCTCCATCACCTGGATCTCCACAAGGGAGAACTGATCTTGGAGGTCAGCAGAGGAATGGCTGATCTCAGAGCTGCCTTTCAATCATTAAATCCCGTTTTCCCCTCCTGCTTTCGGCTGCTGACTGCTCCTGACCTCTTGCTGATGCATCAAGCGAAAAAGCCCAAGGCAGAAACAAGCTCTGAACCTCTGGCCGCATCTGCCATAGCAGGAGAGGCAGAGAGCACCCAAGGCACTGCTGCTTGGTGATGCTGTCACACCGCGGGCAAGCAGATGTTCACGGTTCAGCCCCAGCATCACAGAGTTCATGCTCATTAGGGAACCAAAGCCAATTAAAGGGTAGCGATACCACAACTGAACACAAACCCGCTTACGGTTCTTCCAGCATTATGCTGCCTGATACCCCAAATCTACCCTGGTTGTCGTCAGGCACCCCCAAAAGCAAACAATAGCAGCGTCACAATTACTGCTAACGACGTTCCCCCACATTTTTCAGGAGCGTCTCCTGGATGCAGATGCCCAGCTGCAGACACTGCGAGTGGCCTCCCGCTCCAACACAGCAATTCAAACAAGTTAGTTTTAAAAACTATTCCCATAGAGCAATTTTTTTATATGTAAAAAAAAAAAATTAAAAAATAAAAATTTAAAAAAAAAAAAAAAAA